ATCTAAGTTTGATTATGTCAGAGAAATTAAATCTCTGACAGTGATCATTACACAGTGTGGCTCTAATTCCTCACTTCACCATCTGTGTCGCAGTTTCACGTCTCCAAAATGAGCGTACGCATGGGTCAGAGCTGGCTGAGGCACTGCACATTTTCACGTCAAGTTTGGATTTTATAAATCACAACCTTGGCGTAAAAAGTGGCGTACGCAAGTTTCTGGGCTCAAATTGTGCATTTGTGCCAGTTTTTTCCCAGTCATAACCTTTTTCAGTAGGGGACAGGTAAAGTTTCACAGTGTTTCCCCTACCACTGAATCATTATGCAGTCCCCCCTCCCAACAGAAATATCTGCCCCCACACCAATTAAAGCTCATCTACTTCTTTTTTTTTCTCTTGTGTCACAAGAGCTCGTCTCCTTCTCAATGGGACAGGGAGCAGAGACAAAGCCCCTTTTTCTCCACGCGTTTTAAGCGCTTCTCGTTGATTTAGCATCAGCCAAATGTGTGTCCATTTTGGACAAACTGGCCACCCAAGGTTACACGCACACTTATAAACAATGTTGCAAAGCCAACAACAACAAAAAGTTAGACTGCTGGATCATAAAACCACAACGGCTTAAGCCACGTACTGACAATCAAACAACAGAGTGAGGAAAACACTGCTAAGGCAGGACTGTATGCTAATTCTTTTTGCTTATAGCACTGGTGCTACAGAGGTTATTGGTTTTGTAGCACAGAACAAAAAGTTGTAGCACCAGAATAAAATGTTTGTTATGACCTCTAAAACCAAAAGCACAAATTGTGGGAACTGTTGTACGACATGGGTCACCATCATTTTTGAGACTGAGAGCCACTTGAGGGGTACAGAGGAACATGAATAGCTATTTGTTTGATAAACATAAATTTGCAAGGCTCACCTTAAGTTATAATAGTAATTAATTTACATATATGTGAATACAGTATTTGACACTCTGATTACATCTTAATGTTAAAGACTCCTTGTGACGATTATCAATAATAATTTACAATGATAAATTATTCTTATTATTGTTAAGTGATTAGAACTGTGTGAGCAGAAGCAGATGGATGCAGATGACATGTGACCTGGATAGAACAAGCAGGCAAAACAATGCATGGATGGAGAAGTTTCAATTCATGTTTTGAATGATTTTTTAGATGACTCCAACCAACGTGTTCTTGTTATGACTGTAAGTAATTTGCACAGGACACATTACAATTCTGTAAAACATTTTTAGCATATTTTAAAACAAACTTTATTTGCAATTATTGAAGCTCCACAGTGTCTTTATTTCTATACTGTTTGAAAGGTTAGAGTTGAAGGCCTAATAGACAGGTTAATAATGGTTTCTCACCAACTTCACATTCACCTGACAAACATCAGTCTTCTCAACTACTGTGCACAAAAAACAGTATATTTCCTAAAATGTTCTGTTTACTTATTGTCACAGCCTCTTAAGATAATGCTGGATTTGTGTCTGTATTTATGTCTGTAAGTTAAATGTTGCAGTCAAAGGGAGCAAATTACATTTCTCAATCAAAATCCCATTAGGACCAAAAACTGCAAGGATTGTGTGTATATAGCAAAATTTGCATATGAACGTGTGTGTGTTTGTTTGGTCTTCTACATGTCATTCAGCCCATTTAAGGTAAAAATGTTTTTAGTGTGCGAGTTTGTTTATGAATATATTCAAATGCCAGTGCTTAATAATGCACGCTGTAACAACAATCATCATCAGGATTCTAATTGTGTGCTATTCAGATGGAATCAAGGTACCATTTACAAAATGTAACCAAGTAGACTCAAATAATAGAGTTAAACCTAACAGGAATGATTTATGATCCACTTTTTTATTAATAATGGAAACAATAACCATCAACTCCGCTGGATTCAGGGCTCCTTTAACAGTGGATGATGAGTATGCTACATTGTGCCTATGTAGCCAGAACGTGGAAGGTCTTTGTAGGATCTGGGCAAAGTGCTCTGGCCTGCATACAGGGTGCAGTTATAGAACACAGTAGGTTTACAATGGTTTTGAATATGTACTAAACATCTGTAGTCTTGTTGCTGAAATTTTATTAATGTAGTGGCAGCATATCAATGACCGGGGCCCATGTCCAACTGTGTGACTTGATTTTGAAGAATTTGAGGAGGGACTGGCCATGCTTGCCTCATGCCTACGCCATGATCATGACAAGGTCATGGGAGTGTACTGGGAATGCTTAAGTTAGAAGTGAAACACCTTTTCAGCAAGTGGTACATCAAGGTTACATTTTACATTAAAGAAGGTTTTCTAAATGTGCCACAATCCAGCCACATTCAAAAAGATTGCGTATATTTTTGGGTCATCATTCTGTGTGAAGGGGGCCTTGAAAATCTGACCCTTCAACCAAATAAAGACAATTTAGGGTTATTATTTTGTCTTTTGAAAAACTTCAGCTAGTTTGAGTGCTTCTTTTCACAACAGAGGTTCCAGGTGGCACAAAAAAGTTGAGGAGAATTTCATCTCTGAGATAAACACAGCAGAGAAGTGGTCAGAAGAAATATGTTGTCTTCTATTTAGATGTAGACGGTTTAGTAGAATCTCGAGTGCTTTCAGTTATTTTGGCAGTAAGAGACTTTCATTAAACAGGAGGCCCTTCTTATAAATGGTTGAGAAAAGTTAAAAATGTTTATTTGAAAACTTTCAAGGTATGTTTTATTGGTCTGTGGTAATGATACAACACAACACTGTTAAAAAAGTTTAAAAACAAGTTTTATTGTTGGATCTCCATTTTAGGCATGAGCCTGAAAAGATCCAAGCGATCATTTTGATAATGACTGTTGAAACGATCCAGGTTCAGCTCGTACTCTGTGTGTGAGCATGGCCATCAGTCAAAAAACAGACACAACCAACTTTATTACCATCATAATCTCCACAACTGTTGCCGTAAAAGACAAAAAACAAGGTCCCAGAGGCAAAGTCCAACTGCCTGTACTCATCTAGTCATCTGTCTCCATTTATCTCTCCATTTCCCTGTCGTTTCATCCATCAGACTATCATCATTTCACTGTTGTTTCCATCTCATCAATCACATAGTTTCTCAATCACTTATCCCTTCTGCACCCACCTTCTTCCCTCATGATACAATCAGCATTTCTTGCCTCAGTTTGTCTTTTTCTTTTCCAAACACAGTTTTTACCGCCTTTCATCTAGTTGAATATCTTTGTCATTATGTGCCGTTGTGTCTTTCATCCTTGTTTCAATGTCACACAGCTGGCAGGGTGCTTTTGCTGGAGGGTGCACAGTATACATGCACATATTGGGTCTCTGTTGCTATGTCCATCATTTTTATTAGAGTAAGATTTTGGCTGGAGGAAGGTTTGAAAAAAAAATGTACTGAAAGGGGGAGGTGGAGGGACAAAATGAGACGGCTCCTTTGTAGGAGGAGAATAAAAAGATTTTAGAACGTACATGAAATTGAATGAAAATGATTAATTGCCTAATAAATACACATGAGCTACCCTTTCATTGCATATTCAGAATACTAAATGAATGCCAAATAATCTACTTTATTTTAACTTGAGATTAAATTAGTTAAGAACTGCTATTTGTTATTGGCAATGGCTGTAAAGTAAACTAAAACCCATTATTTAATAAAGAGATTTTTACTGGGGTACTAGGATATGTTAGTAATCAATATTAAGTGCCATATGTCTATCATTTAATGGGAAAATAAATACATTTAAGCCAAAAATAATAAAAGAAATTCAATACTTTGTGGAGCTTTTCTTTTTAATAAACATTTATAGATGCAAGTCTCCATAAACTTGGCATGAATAAGACCAGGGATTTTTTTGTCCACTTTTCAAAATAAACAGCTTTGGTTGGATGCATTCCAAAGGTGTAAAAGCAAACTGTAAGTCATTTAGCAGATTCTCATTCTGACTCACGTCTGGAGTTTGACTACACCAACTACTTTTACAGTGTTTTTTAGGGTCATTTCCCTGCTGAAAGGTAAACCTCAGGACCCACTCTTAGTCCAGTGACTGAAACTGTTATTTTGTGGTTGTGTTTAACAAAATACACAGTCTCTTTGATGCTAATCAATGGACAGAAGGTTTGTTATTCATCAGTTTGCAGCAGGCCAGGCTCTCATTTTCAGTTTTCCTTACAAATATGGTCCCATTTAAAAAAGGATATTAACAGGCTTTCCAGCGATATAAGATTTATTGTCAACAAGCATATACATCTATTAGATACAACCTTTCTTACTTTTTGTGCTATGCATATTTATTTGTTTACCGTATTTGTTTATGAAACTAATTTTGCACACAACACTAGCTTGTGTTTTGCCTTATATTTCTACAGAACTGGAAATACTACCAAACTGCTGCAGTCTGGTGCCTCTGCTATTGATGTCCTGCATCGTGTCAAGTCAATGGGAGTAAGGCCATTCTCAGCCATTAAGTGTCTGATGCTTCTGCCTGTTTGCATCTGGAACTGCTTTTTGTACAAAAACTTACAAACGAGCAACATGCAACTGTGTTGTTGAATAACTTATTGTCACATACCTGTAACTTAAGCCTTACTTAGTAGCAACACATCGGCATATGCTGAACATTTTGCTTGTGTGCAACATTTTTGGATGGCATCGGCGCACAACAACTCATGCCATCGTATGTCAGCATGCTACAAACAAATGCAAAACCTACACCTAACCTACACAACCTTTACCACATTTGCCTTTTTTCAGATACTGGAATTAGCTATAGCATTATAGTATGAAAGTCTTAGCAAACTTTAGTGAAATCATTGAAAAGACTGGCTGTGATCTGTGCTAGTCTTTCTCTGGGCTGGGAATAACTTTGATTGGCTTGCTTTCACTACTATTTCACCACTAGTACAATAATAATAAATAGTCAGGTGCACTGAAAAGGTAAACTAACACTAAAAAAATGCAGACCAATAATGAAACACCAACAACAAGGGAGTATTGCTGATGATTTGGTCTCAACCTCTGTACCCATTACTTCACATGTGGTAATGGTAGGGTGGAGTGTCAAAATAACCCATTAAATCTGTGTGTAGGAACAAGTTCTCACTGTTGTGACTATTGTACAGAAATGAAGAAAAAAATCAGAGAGGAAGAAAGATTAGCACAGGATAGGAAAACAAGAGAAAGAGTGATGAGAAGGAAAAGTGCAAGAAGTTAAGTGATTGTAATAATGTTCCACCTCTTGACAAGCTACTAGCAAGCCCTGCCAACACCACACTCCCTGCCCATAACCCCAGCCAGCAGCCTTGGCAACAGTCCCCTTCGGCAGCAGGCCCCTCTGACAACATTGGCCCCTCTTCTTGAAAACAACAGACCGAGGACGTGGGGAGCTGGGTGATATAAAACTCACCGTGTGTGTGTGTGTGTGTGTGTCTGTGCCATAAATGTAAAGAGCTCAGCTGAGGGAATAGATGCAGATGTGTGTGTTTGAGTGTTTTCATGTCTGGTAAGCCTGATATAAAGTTGATAGATAGCTGCTGTAGGAATGACAAGGTGCAATGTGTATGGAAAAAAAGAGAATGTGTGTGTCTGTTTGCTAAATGCAAAATGATTGGGTGCGTCAGTAGAGAGCAGACTGTGTGTGCTTGTGTGCATGCGGGTCTATAAACCTGATAGAACGATTGCTTGGCAGAGGAACAGGATGGTGTAAAGCGAAGGGGATGAGATTTTAGTTGCTATAGTAATGACAGGGCAGCATTGAGAGTGTGTGTCTGAATGAGTTTGTGCGTGTGCGTTTGTCAGACCTGGTGGAAAATGAGAGCCTGGCTGATGTATCCCCAGCTGGATGTGGGGCTGAGGTAGTGAATCAGCAGGAGCAGGAGCAGCATGAAGGCTATGCTGGCAGAGGCATAAATGGCGTTGATTAGAAACATCATGATGGCACAACCAATGATGCCCAACACACACGTATGCCAGGTGAAGTAACGAAAGGTGGGCCTGCAGAGCAAAACAACAAATGAGTAAAGGTAAATGTCACAGCAGAGATTACAAGAAGTTGGAATTGCATAAAACAGAATTTTACAATTAAGATTAAAAAAAATAGGACAGAAATGTCAGCCTGTGATATTTCAAGTTTAGATATTTATATAAAATCATTTATGACCAGAGGAGAGGTAAAAACATAAACAATAACTCAAAAACATTACAAAACCTTCTTTGCGGTCTGTTTCAATATGAATACCCCAGAAGACATTTGTGTCTAAATTAGTTTTTGTGTTTATATCTGGGGAAATAAGTTATTATTTGATAACTTTATTTGGAAAAAATAATTGCAAATAACATTTCTTTTTTTTTGTACATAAACCAGGGAGAAGTGAAGACTTTAAAGAGCCTGTCTGTTAGTTATTAAACTTACTCATGTTGCACCTAAAAAGCCTCAATTTAAATATACTTGTCCCACTGTTAACTAAACTAGTAATTTATTTATTTACTGCACCTACATTTAACCTGGCAAATCCCATTGAGATCACAGATCTCTTTTGCAGGGGAGGCCTGGGCCTGAAGGCAACCTACTGTACACGTTTTTGTGTTGTGGGGGAAACTGAAGTACCTGAAGAAAACCCATGCAAGAACGAGGAGAGCATGCAAACTCCACACAGAAAGACCCCAGGTCCAAACTGGGGATCGAACCAAGAATCTCCTTGCTGTGAGACATCAGTACTAAGCACTGAGTAGTCGTGCTGTCAAAGCAATGATATGAAGTCTGGGAAAATTGAACAATTTTTTACATCATTCAAATAATAAATCAGTTCTGTGTTCTAAAGCTGAGAAAATGGTGTGTGTGTGTGTGTGTGTGTGTGTGTGTGTGTGTGTGTGTGTGTGTGTGTGTGTGTGTGTGAGTGTGTGTGTGGGAGGAGGGTCATTAGAAACATATAGACCTACANTGTGTGTGTGTGTGTGTGTGTGTGTGTGTGTGTGTGTGTGTGTGTGTGCGCGCGCACGTTAGGGAGGAGGGTCATTAGAAACATATAGACCTACATGTTTTCCTACATCTTAAAAAAACTAACAATCTACTGACCTACACCCACAAAGGCTAAAAACAGTCAATTTTCCAGAAAATCTGTGTCATATGAGTCAGACTTCTTATAACTTTTCCACAATCCAAAAGCATGTATGTTGCTTTAGGTCCAGGACTGCCTTGAAAAAAAAATCTGTGATCAAAATGGGATTTTAAATAAATGTTCAATGAATAAAATAGTTTAAGTTAAAATTTCAAGACTTTCCAGCACCTTAGAGCAGTGATGATTTACACATACAATAACAGTATATGCTCCACTTATTTATCTTATTTGTTCCATAAAAATAATGTTTTTTGTTATAAACTACACTAAATATGTGCAACTAGCAAAGGCCACCAACATAAGCTACTGTATTTGTTAGCACACAGTATGATTTGAGGAGGACACCTAGCCACTAGCAAACCACCTAAGGTTGACTAGCCACAGTGGCCCATATTGAATTGGGTTGACTAAAAATAATCAGATCTAAATTTGATAATTACTTTGAAAGTTGAAAATCTGATCACTAGTTTATGAGATATTTTACTAACAGAAAAATGAAAACACAATTATCCTTACAATCCATATAATTATGAGTATTTGGCAAGTCTGTCCTGTCCACATATGCTTTTCAAGTTAGTTTTATTCTTTACAGATGAAAACAAAAACAAGCAAACAAACAAACAAAAAACAAACAAATAAACATACTGTACATACATACAAAAACAGCGTCTGTGCTGGTGAATTGTAAAAGTCCAAACCCTGTTCTTTGTTTTCTTACTAAACTTTAGCACAGGGGTGTCCAATTCTGGGCCTCAAATGCCATTATCCTGGATGTTTAGAGGTTTCTCTGCTCCAACACACAGACCACCATGATTTGAATGGTGTGATGTCAAGAGGAGATTACACTTTTACATAAGCATGACTGTAGCCTTTTTGATGGATTAATGATACTTTATTTTTATTTTACCTAACCAAAGCCAGCTTAGTCTGAATGAGGGGAAGGACAGCAGAAATGTTTTATTTACAATTTAATTAAAATATATCAACAATGGAAGCCTTGTCCATCTAGCCTTACATGCTGCAGTCATAGTTTGACTAAGAGTGAGAGGAGGAAGACCAAATTGTAGTTGGTAAGTCCATATCTGCAATTCTGTCACAAAAATTAGACGTCATACTTGGAACAAGAGAAAACGTCCTAGAAAATACAGAAAACTGAACCGATTGAAAAATATGACCCAAAAAGAATATAAAGATATCTTTGCAGTACTGGATGAGACTCATTTCAACATTTCTGCACTCCTAGAGACTCCAGTACACAACAAACTGCATTTAACAGTTAAAAAAGTGGATTTTGCATGATATGTTCTCTTTAAATGCTTCCATCAACCCACACACACACACACACACACTTTCAGAATCATTTCCTAATGTGTGGCTTCACAGCAGCATCAAAACAAATGTGGAGTTAATGCTTAGGCAAGATCAATTAAAACAAATGCCACACAGACAATAAGCTTCCACTGCGTACTGCTGTAGACCTCTCACTGTTTGTGTGCACAGGCTGAATAAATATGGAAATTAGTACATTAGCTCTATTCACTGCACTAAGAGCTTACACATGCATGTGTGTCTGTGTGCCAGGTTTTAAGTGGGGAAGAGTTGGAGATGCGAGCTACATTCTGGATGGAAGTACCAAACATTTTTGCAGGATCAAGTAATTGACCTCAATTTTCCAGCAACACCTGAAGTCGTGCAGATAAACAGCCATAAAAATAGACCAAGCTGTAATTACACAACACAGCTCAAATGACTGGCCAGTTCCTCCAAAGATCAATTTACAGATTTAGAATTTTTGTAAGGTTGCTGCTGCACCGATAAACATAATCCACTAGCAATGTGTCACTCTACGAAAGTATGGTAAAGTAGTGATGCCAAAGGAAAGCTAAAACAGTGTATAAAATAAGGAGACGCACATTGGTTTCCTTGTTAGTAAGAGAAGACAATCTAAAATCTAAGGATAGAATCTGTAAATAAATAATTTGAGTTCACAACTGATAATTTGGATGGATGAAAAGTCGAATGGACGAACGGACGGATGAACATATGGACTGCCAAACAATTTCTTTGAGTAAAACTTTAGATTAACTGACTCATCAAATTCAAGGAAATAAGAAATATAATAACCTTTCAAAATTCAGCCAGTACCTGCTGCTGATATTTTCCTTTCTGGCCACTGGTCCCCATGTGCAACGGACATGAGAGAGGCAAGGTACGCCCTGGGCTGATCACAAGTTCATCACAGGGCTACACAGAGACAAACAATCATTCACAGTCTCACTCACACCTAGGGACAATTTAGAGTTGCCAACTAGCCTAACATGCATGTTTTAAATGAGTAAAACCAGAGAAAAACCACACATGCATGACAAAAACACGCAAACTGGAAGGTGCTCCAGCTAGGAACTATGTTTTTCTGCCAGGGAACTTCAATGCCCACAAGAGTAGCAACCGTGTGACCTAGAGGAGAGTGATTGGGAGTAACGGTCTCTCTGATCTGGGCCCCAGTTATCTGTTGCTGGACTTTGAAACTAGTCACAGAACATTAATCATAAACACCATGTTTAAACATAGGCAGAGCTCCCTAAGGCTGTAGATCAATGATAGTATTTGTAGTCATGACATCTGATTGGCTGGGATTGAGGTCAGTTGCTACGAGCCATCCAGTCCCTACACAAGTGGTGTAAGAGTATGGGTTGCATTGCCAACAGTAAGTTGGACCCGTTTGAGGTGGAAAGTTGGACTCTGCCAGAGCTGTCCATTGTCACATTCTGATCATGATCTTCAGGTTTCATTTGAGCGGTTTGCAGCAGAGTGTGAAGCAGTTAGGATGGGATGTAGCACTGCTAAATCTGAGGTTGTAGTCCTCAGTGAGACAAGGATGGACTGCCCTCTCCGAGTTGGGAGTAAGATGCGGCCTTAATTGGAGGAGTTTTAATATCTCTGAGTTTTGTTCACAAGTGAGGGAAGAAAGGATTGTGACATTGCAAGATAGATTGGTGTAGCTTCTGCAGTATTGCATACTCTGTTGTGGCGATGAGGAAGCTGAGCTGCAAGGCAAAACTTTCTGTTTACTAACGGATCTACATTCTTACTCTCATCCATGGTCACAAACTCTGGGTAGTGAACAAAAAAACAAGATTGCAGTCAGAGAGAATTTCCTCTGCAGGGAGACACTTGGAGCAGAATCACTGTTCTTTCACAAGAAAGAAGAGCCAGTTGAGGTGGTTTGAGCATGTGGTAAGAATACCCCCGAGATGCCTCTCTAGGGTGGATTTTGGGCATATTCAACAGAGAAAAGAACCTGGGAAGGACCCAGAACACAAGGAAGAGACTATGTAGCTTGGTTCCTCTGGGAACTGACTGGAATCCTCTCAGAAAATCAGAAAGACGTGGCTATGGAAAGATATGTTTGGGCCTCCTTGCTCAAGCTGCTTCCCCTACAATCCAAATCTGGAACAAGTGGAAAATAATGGATTGATTGTGTCAGACACTGTTACTCACATCTATTACATCATTACACTGGCAAAGTTGCTAACAAAAACACAAGTTTATGAGACAAACAATTAATTTCTTGATTTTCAAAGTTTAAACTATATAGTCTTCTGTTTTATGAGCCAAATGTATTTTTTTCATGCTAACAAACTGCAAGTCATTAAACATGCCTTTGTCAGCATTCTTTTGTCAGCAATTTGTCACACAGGCCTTTATCACAGTTTTACCCCACTCTTGCTTATTTCCACTGTTCTACAAAAGTATTTAGACTTTGTTTTTATTTCCACTGAACTTGATCACTTAGAACAGACATTGCCCACAATTTTATCTCTCCACATCTATTCCATCAAAGAGTGAAATTAATTATGGTAAAAGCCTGCCCAC